TAATTAAATAAGGATATATTTAAAGAAAATAAAACAATTTTTATAACTCTATCACATTAGACAAGGATATATTTAAAGAAAATATATAATAATATAATAATAGATATAAATAAAATATAAATGTTAAAGAATTTGAACATTTCAGTATTTATTTTTTAATATAAAAAATATTTATTAATTAATACAAAAAGAGAACTCTATCACATATAAGTATATAACCCTTGTATTTATCTAATTTTTATGAGTTTTTTAATAAAAGAAAATCTAATTTTACAAAGATATATCTAAATAAAATAAAATAATTTCTATAAAATTCTACCACAAATTACTATTTAAAGAAAATAAAATATAACCTAGCATCTTCCAAAAACCACAAACTCCATATAATAAATTTTTATATCAATTTCAATCTAATGTATAATTAGTATAATTGAATTTCTATTTTAAAATTTATTTAAAAATTAATATAATTGAATTTCTATTGTAAATTAAAAATTATACTAAATTTCAAATTATCTAATAAAATTCAAATTACAAATTACCTAATAAAATTCAAATTACCTAAAAAAATTTGTTACTTTGCAAAACTCAAATATTTCACTATTAAAATAAAAAATTATTATTTAATAAAAAATAAAATAAACATATTTCAGTATTAATATAAAAACATAAAAGAATTTATTAATGTATGAAACTTAAACTCTATCACCAATTTCAAAATATTTCAGTATTTATTTATTAATATAAAATAAATTTTTATTAATCAATATGAAGCCAAAAATTTTATAAGTTACAAAATATTCACCACGTGCATCGCATGTGCCTTTTCCTAGTATATATATATATATATATATATATATATATATAGTACCAATAAAGAAATGGCCAAATTTTGGTTGTATTCAGATTTTGTTTTGATTGTGAACTTTGATGGGTGTCTTGTAATTTATTAAATTTATGTGCATCGCATGGGCTATATCCTTGAACTCTAATGTTCTTATTTATTCATCTTGTTTGTTTTCTTTCCAGAAAAAACTCTTTTGTTTGTACTCAACCCCTCTCTCTCTCTCTGAATCTGTGCATCCACTGGTAATTGGTTGTGGTTATCTCTAAAACATGTTTGTTATCCACGTGTACGGCTTGACTAGTTTCAATAAATTGGACATGACAAACCACATGAATATACTTTCAGGGGCGGCTGGAGCCTTAGACGAGTTAGGCGGTTGCCTAAGGCCCCCATCCAATAAAAAGGCCCCATAATTTTTTATTTCTTTATATATTATAACTTTTCTAAAAACAATTATAGTATTTTCTTTAATTATTAAACTTTAATGTTTCCTTTAATTATTAAACTTTAACGTATAGAAAAATTTGACAGTTAACCTAAAAGATTTCTATTCTTTATGTTTTTTTTTTAGGGGCCCCCAAAATTTTTTTCTTTATATATTATAACTTACCAAAATATTTTATTTTCTTATATTATTAAACCTCAACAAATACAAAGTGTGCCCAAAATATTTCTATCCTTGTATATATATATATATATATATATATATATATATATATATATATATATATTGCTCTCTCACCCTCATTACATCATACACACACTAAATATTAAATATATATTTAAGTGAAAATTGGTGAAACTTTTTATATTTTTTTAAGACTCCTATTAACTTATATATATATATTTTTTTTTCTTACTCCTTATATATTTTTTCTCTTCTCTCATTATAAATTTTTTTATTCATCTTCTCCACTGTTACAATTTACAATCTCACAATCTCACTCTGTAATAAGATTTTGAATTCACTTATATTCTATTAAAGAATTTATTGGAGTATTATACCAAATTATTCCAAATCAGTTTCTATTATTCTATAACTTAAATTAGTTTATAGTTTTATTAATTTTTGTTATCATAAAATTATATATTTTGTTTATAATTTTTATTTATATTGTTAAATGTAACTATTAGAAAGCACGTGGCCAATTAATTAACAATGAAACTAGGGTTTGGAAAAAATTTAGTGATAAGCTTAAAAATCACAAAATAAATAATTAGCATAATACTGACATAAATATATGGGTAGATTTAATTAAAAAGCCACTTTATTTTTTTTGCCTAAGGCTTCACATAATATTGAGCCGCCCCTGATACCTTGTTGTGGTGGAAGGAGACATGTAAAGCCCCTGTGTGGAGTAGTTGGTTTTAGATTGCCCAGATTACAGAAATGTCTGTATATATGTGTAGAAATTTATATATACACACACACACACAAACTCACTATAAAAAAAGGCTCTCTTTAATGTTGTCTGTGATTGTAGGTGTTGAAGGAAGAAGGCATGAAGGAAGAAGGCATGGGTATTTTCCCAAATTGAGGTAACTTGATGACGTTTTATAGTTCCGGGGAGTGTCTAATTTTAGTGAGGGCTTTTTGAACGAAAATGATAGTACAGGAGGGTTATGTGATTTTTTCCCCTTATATAAACAATAAAAACCACATAAATGAAAGGCATAAAAGTCATTTGACTATCTAAAATCAAATAAAAAAATTGTTATTTTGACTTCTTTTTACTAGTCTTTACCCGAATTTTTTATTTATTTTATTTTATTTATTTATTTATTATTATTATTATTTTTTATCATTTGAAAGGCACAAAGGCCAAGCCAAGTGGCAGTAGAGAGACATAAGCCAAGTCAGATAAAGACATACAAATCATAAAGCAAAATAATAAAATGAAGAACATGTTCCAGATTTGTTGAGAAAGAGCCACCGCACTAGAACGAAAACCACATAGGGAAAAGAGCAGCAACTGGAGTGACTAAAGATCAGACCATCATCAAGGTAATAACTTCGAAGCTGCATTCACAAGGCGCTTCCACACACCCAACCCCAAACAAGATCAAATCAAGTCAGGGAAAACAAAAATCAACTTATATCAGAGATCTAGCCAAAGGGAACACAACAGATCTATCTTGTCTAGCTGGAAACAAACCAAACAAGAGCAGATCTAGCCACAAAAAAAAAAAAAAAAAAAGAAAAAAAAAAAAAATCTCTCACATGACAAATTTATTGACACGCCGAAATTATTAACCTATGGAGGCAAACAAGTTCACCTCCCCACTCCTATAGAAGGGAGCAGGGAGCACATCGAAAGGGGAGGAGCACATTGAAAGGGGAGGAGCGGCTGAGAGAGAGAGAGAGAAAAGAAAGAGAGAGAACAGAGGAAAAGTTAGAGATGTCTGTCTGTCTTTACCTGAATATCTAATACGCATCGAGCATTCTATCAATTAAATCATCAAATTATGGTTCTCATTTTCTCAAAAAGGCTATATCTATTTTTCAGTTTACATATTAATCAATTCCATCAATTTTTTTATTTTTTTATTAATTTTTATTTTTTAAAATATAGTAAATTATTGTTAATACATTAAATACAAATGAGGTTGCTAAAGTCATGGAATAGTGTGGCAAAACAGTTGAGCCAAACCCATCAATGAAAAATAATAATAATAATAAATAGTAATAGAGCACCCATCTGTTTCAGCTCTTTTATATCTGTCAGTCAGTGTTTTGTCTTTGGATCTTTTTTTGTTTATTGGTAATTGTCTTTGGATTTTGTGGATGTTTGGTCTTACGAAAGCTTTGTCTTTTCTGAAATCAAACGGCGCCAACTCCCGCTATGATTACTTTTGGACAAAATTCTCAATAATTTAGTGAAGTTTTCCATCTCTGGATGTCTTTTTCTTGTATTAATTAATTAAATACTACGTAAGAAATAACAAAGTCTAATAAAAACTCCAATGTTTTTATTTTTTATTTTTATGCAAGTAATCAAAGTCCAATGTTACACGCTCAAACTTTGAAAAGGATATAAAGAAATAAAAAAAAAAAAAAAAAAAGAAATAAAGTGCAAACTAAACAAAACAAATTTGCTTCAAACTTTAAAAATCAGTGCACACTCATATTGGGATATTTTTCTCCCTTTTTTTGTTTTTGTTTAACCGTGTGGGTATGAAAAAAATTAAAATAAAGAAAAAATAATAATAAACAATAGTAAATTAAAATCTCAAAAAATTCAAATCATTGTTTAACAAATTCTCAAAGTTTAAAAAAAGAAAAAGAATAAAAAAAAGTATAGAGATATTTATAGAGAAAAAAGTTTAAAATATATATATATATAAAAGGTAATGTACACATAACACTCCTATACTATGAGATTAGTAGCATACATATATACACTTTTGGGCATTTTCGGAAGTGTAAAAGGGCAAAACGGGTATTACAACACTAATTTATGTCAGATGAGGTATTTTTGCACAATGTGAAAAGAATATGGATGTTTTTTGCACACTTTTTCAAATAAAGGATAAAAATGTTATGCAAAACATACTTTAGGGTTGTTTTCTGCACTTGTCCTTATATAACATACATATTTGTCTCACAAGATAAATTGATTTGGGGATTTGTCAATAAGGGTTATTGTAATGAACACTAACTTTTTTGGTTTTACCACTCATACGTTTTGTTTTTTTTTTTTTTTTTTGGGAGGTGGGGGCATTTCCTCTTCATTTGGGATGGTTGTTGTGCATATATATTTCAAAAATAAATAATCAGATTTGGCAATCAGAAGCACATATAAACAAAATGTGGGAATAAATGTTTTGGATAAGACATGTCGGACTAAGATTACCTTTTGCAGTATTTATCCAATTATTTATTTGGTAATTATTCTGAATTCAAGAATTTGGAGTTATAACTAAAGTGAAATTGAATTGCACTTCATAAGTAAAATTGTTGAATAATAAGCTTTAGTATTCCTAATTAGTAGCCATGGGCAATTGATAATGATACATTTTATCTTTTCCTCTTGCTGTTACTCAAATATCATACTTTTGAGCAAAAAATAGTTATATTTAAAATACAACCACGACTAGTTCGTACAATTCAAATTCAAAAGAGATATCGTAGACCATATCTTAACACCATTCGTACTAAAAATTCATCTAACGGACATTAAAATAATTATACCAAAGAACAATAAGATCAAAGAAAATGTGACAGATAATATTCCTGTTAAAAATGAAGTCCGAGACTATAGCTTAGCACCATCTAAACTTCAAATTCATCTCACATACATAAGAGCAATTGTACCAAAAAATAAGAAGATCAAAGCAAATGTGACTGATAATAACGTGATGGAAAGGGGAATGCCTCCCTTGTCTTTCCTCCAAATCATCCCTTCAATTATAGGGTAATTCACAATTAAGATAAAAAGTGAGAGGAAAACTTGTGCAAAATTCTGATTCCATCCCCCTTCAAAGGTTGCTCGAGCTATTCCCCCAGTGAAAGAAACCATATTGAGGATTACCAAGCTGACCATTGGTACCAAAAACATAGTTGATGTTCGGAAATCAAATATCCCCATTTGATATAATTTAACTTCTTCATCGCTAGTAACTTTATTCGTTGCTATGAAACTTGCCTCTCTCATACCAATTAACTCGAAGATAGCATCCAAACTTCCATATAAATAGGCTGTAACAGATTTTATCATCCAAATACGCCATTCATTCAAACATCTCTGAATTGATCCATCTCCTATGGAGTAGAAATCCCAGAAAAGTTTTAAGTGGGAGGAAAAGAAAATGAGTGAAAATATAATGAACCACGAACTTGAAACCTGCGAGAGAATATGAAGTAATTTTAGAACATACTGTTAGCACAAAATAAAATCATAAATTGACCAAGTGCCCGCGCACACAGAGAGAGAGAAGCATTTAATTTGTTTGTACCTCAGGGTATACTGGGATGCCATTCAAGAGACACAGTTGTGGTATAGTAGCCAAACACCATAGGGGGATGCAATAGAGGGGAATGAATGCAAGATATCCATAACACATGGTCTCGAGGATGGACATTCGCGATAGTCCATATATAAGGGGGCAGAACGTTGAGAATGCAACTTCTAGCAGCCCAGCCATCCATCTGGTGCCCTGAACTAATGTGTCATTCAAATTCGTTGTCGCGCTGCCCAAAAATGCTGGCCTCGAAGGATCACAGTAAACAGAAGTCCACCCTTTGCAGTGCAACATGAACCCTGTAAAGTAATCTTCTACCACAGAATTGTACAAGAAACCAATCTGCCATTGAGCCAACAAGATCATTCTGAAATGTTAAATTTCTTAATTCGCCTAATTGAACGTTCATGGATACGCAATGTTTAGTTAAAATAGTGCTTGCCTGTTGACCCCATTTTGTTTGTTTCTCGTATGCGCAAGAGGCTAAAAATTGGGCATGTTGTAACAATTTATTTGATAAGTCTTCATCGTCGATGTTTATGCGCTTGTAACTCTTTCCAAGTGTCCCCATGAACTCATTTGAAGGACCCAAAGATTGTCTTAGTTGAGGGATATCCACACCTGCATAAACCATAACAGAACCGAAACAATATGTATAAACGCTTGTGACTCTTTCTAAACTTCATGCTTATTTTGGGCTGAGCTTTGATTTTAGAAATACCATATGAGATTGACTAGTGTTGTACGTACCGTTATGTATATTACTCCCATATAATGCCTTTCTTTTTATGTAGAAGCATGTACCAGAAATTAGTGGTCCACTAAGCCCATCCGTACCTTGCCACATTATCTGAAATATTTAGCACAAAAACTATCATAATTCTGCAAGTGACTCCTCTAACAACTAAACATTGCACATTACTGTAACATAAACCACATAAAATTAAACAACAATTTTATAGTATAATCTTTCATTTATTATATATTACCATGAATGTTGATTTCAACTCGCCATCGTAGATGTCATTCTGACTGACATTGTGGAATTTCTGAGGGAATTGAACGAACGCAAGCGAGGGAGAGAGTTTGGGATCAAGATGGAAGCACATCGCTTGCCGAGCAGATTTTGGATCGTTGGAGTACATGTCACAATCTAATATCAATATATATGGGGCATTGCTTATGATACCAGAGACCCGCAGCTGCATGCAACATTTTGTAGTAGTATATGATTTCTGTGTTTATATATATATATAGACATATATAACTGGTTGCATACAGATAGATATGAATAGAGAGGGAAAGAGAGAAATACAAGAACATTAAGGGCTCCGGCTTTGAAATGATGAGGATGGGAAGGCTTTTTCTCACGAGAAATGTATACAAGAAGAGGCATCTCAGCTTGGTCAGACTCCACTGCCTTAACATTATTGCGGCCTATCACCTGCGAAAAAGTGACCCAAATATTAAATAATTCTGAAAATGTTATATACAACATAAATCAAAATTAATGTTATATACAAGCCCGTCCTTCAATTTAGAGCTACTATATATCTTTGACCCCCACTGTTCAATTGAGGACTGTCACCAAAGAAATGCAAAGGCAATGTTCTAAAAGTTTTTTTTTTTTTTTTTTAAATGTTATTAGACTTACATAAAAAGCCAATTTTTTAAGACAATCTGAAGTTTTTTTTTTTTTGGTTGCAAACTAGGGATTTTTCCGCTAATACCAGCCATGATCATGGATGGAGCCTAGCAACATAGGCCTAGAGGACTGACCCCTCTAAATCAAGGTATTGTGATCCAATAACATCTTCATTACCTTTCAAAATAAATAATGAAAGTTCAAGTTCTTAAAAAGATAAAATAAGTGTGTGTATTTCTTGTTAAAAATAAAAATAAAAAATATGCCCCAGCAAACCAAATTATTAGCACCGCCTTGATACTAACGTGTCTTCAGATTTCTAATTAATTACCTATATTAATTAGAAGTTAGTTCTCGTCAAGTTTGAACTATTGTATTTTGGTTTTTTGTTTTTGTTTTTCTCCCCTTGTTTTTTTATGAGGTACAGAAGAGATTCTTCCAACGATGACGGTGGGCCTCCCTGAAAACAACAGCTACCAACCCTTAAATCAGCAACCAGTCTGCATCTTTAACGCGACAGTCTTCGCCACAGGACGGTTCATTGTGAAGATATCATTACTACTAGTATACGGATGCATTCATTAAGAAATGACTATCAGAATCATTTTACTTTTACTTTATAATTTTTTGTTTTATAATTTTTTAAAAGAACATATAATTAATGTATTATTTTTTTTTTTAAATTGTTAAATTATTTTTAAAACATTAAATATATATAACACTAAGTTATAAAATTTTTAAAATGTTAAAAGAGTAACTATAAAAAGATAATATTTATTTTGTTTGATTTTTTAAAATAAATATTTAATTTGAGACATTTTAAAAAAAGAAATAAAGTACTAATATGAAACAAAGAGAATATATATAACATTCCAAAAAGATCACGTTACCTCAATACTTGGTGGGTGACTTTGAGCATTATTGGCAACGTTTTGTCCAGCTAAGCTCACGCGTTCCTTGAACTCCTCATACTTCCTCTGCATATACAAATTTCTCCTTTCCATTTATTATTTCCAATTTCTCATATATACCATAAATATTACTCCACTATTACAAAACTAGCACGTACAAAACACCATCATTATATATATATATATATATATGTATGTATGTATGTATTTTGTCATTATCTTCATTTGTATTGCTAAAAGTGAACCATGCACAAGTAATTATCTCATTTATTTAAGTCAAGCATACAAAAAAAAAAATTATTCGCATCTTCATTTGTATTGCTAAACGTGAACTAGATATCACATGTAACATAAATATTATTCGCACTCATGTTCGGTGTTCCTTACCCAAAAAAAAATATAAATAAAAATATAAATAAAACTAAATTTCAAGGAAACTTATATATGGTTTGTCCATATATTATAGGTGCAAAATGACTCAATCGAAGTTAAATATTGGAACCACAACTTACTTTCCATGATGAAAAAAAATGGATCCAAAAAAAATTGGGACCACAACTTACTTTAAGTTTCTTTGGAATTTAGTTTTTTTTTCGGGTAAGGAACTAAACCTGAGATAATGTCAATAATATTTATGTTACATGTGATATATCAGTACACAAGTAATTATCTCATTTATTCAAGTCAGGTGTATAAATCCTCAGATATCACATGTAACATAAATATTATTCGCATTCATGTTCAGTGTTCCTTACCCAAAAAAAAAAAAAAAACTAATTTCCAAAGAAACTTATATATGGTTTAATTTAGATTTTTTTTTTTTGGGTAAGAAACACTGAACTGAGAGAGTGCCAATAATATTTATGTTACATGTGACCTGACTTGAATAAATGAGATAACTACTTGTCTATAGCTCTAGTTCACTTTTAGCAATACAAATGAAGATAATGACAATATATATATATTTAGTTTCTCACATGGATGGTACGATTAAATTTAAGAAGACTTTTTAAAAGAAATTATATCAATATAGAAATATTTCGAACATTTGAGGTGGGTAGCAGTGAGAGTGACATAAATTTTCGCGACAAGTATGATCAACAAATTAATTAATTTGTATGAAGTTTTCCAAGGAAAAAATGAAAACATATATAGTTGCTTAATGAACAAACCTCAATATTGTCTCTGTGTTTAGTAAACTCAGTGTCACCACCATGATTATCATCATCAAGTACCGATGAAAAATAAGCCTCTGGGCACCTCGTCTTGGTTCCATACCTCCTACAGAATGGTAACCACAACCTCGCGAAACCCCAAGCCTCCCTCATGGCGTACAAAGTCACTGAAGCACCACCATCATCAGAAAGGTATACAGAAAGCTTGTCTGGTGGGTAGTCAAGAGCCATGGCTGATAAAACAGTGTTCATAACTCCCACGGGTGGCTCCTTCTTGGGGTCTGCAGTGCATATAAACACATCGACAGCTGGAAGTTCTTCGTCACCGGGCAACCTCTCAGGGAAGACGGTTCTGGTAACGGGCTGCCAAAAAAAACCTTGTTTGAGGAGCCAAATAAAGGAGAGAATCAGTTCTGAAGAAAAGACCAGAAGCCATGGCAAGAAGGGTAGTGTTTGGGTGTTTTCAGGGTAAAGAAATGAAGAAGCTCTGTAGTAAATCATGGCTATTAAAACCATGCAGTGAAGGAATACGTGTGATCGGTTGATGATGGCCGATAACTTTTGGACAGTGCAGTGATGGAGAGGCAGAGACTCCATTTGTTTTAGTTTTTGTTATTGGTATGTAATTGTGATTTCAATACAGAAAAATGACAACTTATATAGACAATACTTGCTTATGGAGTAGGAGTGTAGGACGCTCTTTCTCACCACTAAAATGACACAATAATAGATAGACATAGGTACAATTTTAAATCTAAAATATAAGGGAGAAAAAATTAGAAATCTTTTTTTTTTTTTAAATGTAAATAGACACATGACATTTTATTATTATTGTGTCATATTAGTGAAGAGAATGTAGTTCATGCAAATAGGAAGCTTAATAGACAAAGTATTGTAGATTGAGTGTGAGTGAATTATAGTTTAGAGGAATACAATCAACACACGACTTTTGAGAATTTGTCACCATATTTTTGAACTTTTTCATTGAGGCAATATATGCTTGCAAGGCGAGGATGGAGGCTGCTTAGGGAGAGTGACAAACTTTCATTTTACTTTGAAATTTCAAAGAAAAAATACTTTTCTCAATCAACTTTGTTTGGAAGATATTTCTAGCTTCTTGGACTTGGAGGAGCTTGCTTTTTGGATGCTAGGAAATGGTCTTAGAATTCGGATTAGGGATGATAGATACATGGGTGGTGGGTCTTCAAGATGCCAAATTTTTTTCGTACTCTTCATTGATTGATACTGATAGATAGATGCATGGGTGGTGGGTCTTCAAGACGCCAATTTTTTTTCGTACTCTTAATTGATTGGTACTGATAGATACATGCATGGGTGTTTTTTCTCAAGAAAGGAAAATTGTGTTTTTTCAGAATGTCCTCAGCAGATATCCCCGGCAGAACAGCTGGGATAAATTGATTTGGGGATTTACCAATGACAGTCATTTCAGGGCGAGGATAATTGATTTGGTAAATTATCAATAATGGTTATTGTGGAGGGTAAAGTGTAAAATAATAATAATAATAATAATAAATAAATAAATAAAAATTCAAGTTGTTCTAAAAAAAACTTACATTTTTTAAATTGAGTAAATAAAAAAATTTATTAATTTAAAGACCGAAATATCTAAAATGTTCTTAGAGCAAAATTTAACATTCATGAGTTGAGAGGGGAAAAAACACAAAGTCACCAAAACAAAAGGTAGAAGGGAGAGTGGATACCCTTTCATTTTTAATAAAGATCTTACATTTTTGCCCTTTTCCAAATATAGAAAGAAATAAAACGTTTTTATTTTTTATTATTGTGATTGTGACAAGCGGGTCGATGGGGAAAATAAGAATCCTCACCCCAAAAATGATAAAATATACTAAAAAGAAAGGGAAAACCCCATATCTTATCTTTATTCGTTTTTTCAAATACAAAGATATTATTTTTAGAATTCGGTAGCCCCATCTGATGCCTTTGCCAAAAGCAAAGAGTACTGCGAGAACTCCATTTACAAGCACTCACAGAAAATATACATTGAATTCCCTAACCAATCAATCACTGCGTAGTAGAGGCCAAGAATTTACAGGAAATATAGTCATAGGCCTTATGCAAATCAATCCTAAAAGCAATCATAGCGGGGCTTTCAGTCTTGACGGCAAATTCATTTCTCTCGACTCTTATTAAGGGTATTTTAGGAATTTTATTAAAATTGGCCAAAATTTATTGTAAACAAATATTATGGGACAATTTACACATATTTTTAAACCTCAGGAATTCATATATATGACATACTAATTTGCTGGAGTGTTTAATTTACACAATTTTTATATAGCAAGTGTTTTTTTTTGGGTGCGCCTTACCCTATTGTGGAAGTGTGGAACATATTTGTTTTCAGGTCTCCTCTGTCAACTTCACTCTCTAAGAGTTATTGTCTTTTTTGGGGTGGACAAGGGTGGTATCCCGCACTCCATAATCCAAATAAAAATGACATGATTGTTAGATGGTTAAGTTCGAGATTATATCAATGTATATATAATACAATTTTGTAAGGTTAGATGAAAATGACAAAATATTTTAAATTATTAGGTTTTTCTACTGATTATGTTTTTTTATTTAGGTTCGGGGCGGCTCATATTTTGATTGTTGTGGCATGTATGAATTGATCAAATTGTTTGGCAACTAAAATAATTTGACAACTAAAATAATTTGACAATTTGTGTTTAAAAATATTCGAGTCATCGGATTAGGTGTGGGTTGATTTGCTCATTTAACATCCAACCCGTTTATAACTTGCCATAAATAGATTGATAATAGGTTACTGTCCATCCATTACTTACTGGCCCAAAACCTTCCAATTGCCACCGCTAGTTGTGATGTATATTCACTTCTCTTGCATGCCTTCCATTGTAATTTGATTGCTTATATGTCCATGATGTTTGACTGCCAAATTTGATCGAACTGAATTGGAAAGTTGTTTAAAGGGGCATTGTCTAGTGGCCTAATTAATAAAACGTCTAATTTTTTAAGTAGGCGTGCCCGTATTCGAGTCCCCTTCTTAGGGATGGCAATTTCCCTTGTCCCGTCCCCAATGGAGTGGATTTGGTACACCCTAAATGATTTTTGGGACGGTTATAGTAAAATAATTGAAAACCCGAAGCGGGTTTGGAGTGCGGGCGGATTTAGTACCATCTCCACTTCCAATTATATATGTACCTTTAAATTATATATATATATAATGTTCTTAAGAATCTTATTACTTTGCTGGAAGTGTCAAGCCAACTTATTTATTAGCCCAATTTCGGCTAATTATTATTATTATTATTATTTTTAACTACATAATAAAAATGGTATAACCCGCCCCCATCTCGCAATTAAACGAAGTAGGTGAATCGGAGTCGAAGTCGGTATTTTATCTACCGGAGTAGAGGTGGGGATGATATATGAGCGAAATTGGTATAATGAATTTTTTAATGAGACGAAGTAGGATTTAACCAAATCCGTCTCGTTACCGTCCCTACCTCTTCACCTAATTTGCTAGGATACTTGGGTCCTCTTCTAAAAAGACAAACTTAGTAGTGATGTGACCCAATAAAAGAGTGACAGTTGTCCCAATATAATTGTTTACAAAATTGTGAGTCACAATTTAGCATGTGAACAATTATATTAGAACAGAGGGAGTACTTAAAATATCATTAAAAAATAACAAGAATAAATTCGTTTTTAGTTGGGTCTCATCTAAACCAATATGAAAAATTCCTCTCATTGGTTTTGCAATTAACATAGAAGGGCCAATATATATATATATATATATATATATATATATATAAACAAGCCAACAATATAATAAAATGGCAGAGAAATTGACACCTGAAAATTTTCACAATTTTTTTCATGTCCAAAGAGTCTTTGGTAACTAACAGAAAAAAATCTTTAAGAATTAATATTTCCATTCCTTTGCTTTTTCCTAGCAGCCTAACAAAGAAAGATGAAATAAACAAACAAAACAGAACAAAACATCTTCGCGCCACCAGTGCAGCACAGTGTTTATTGGAGTCACTATCAAATGTATCATCTCTCCCCTAACAATTCAGATCGAACGTGACCGTGTACAACCTATAGAAATATTTACTTTTGAAAGATGAAGAGGACACAGGGCTTCCTGAACGAGAGTATTTTTTATTTATTTTTAGGTCACATGATCTCTATCTTTACATAGGCATACAGTACTTATTAAGAATGGTTTTCTAGGATTTTAGACTTCCAATAATTCGTTGACATATTACTATTGATTGATTCTGGTGAGTGGTTTCATTCACCCATCACCTCTTTGTCCTCCACATATCTATGCAACACCCAAAACACCACTACCAACTACCATCGATTAGGGTACTAGAGAGATAAGGAGGGTGGGGAGCAGCGGTGGTGGTGAGGAGAAGGGAGCGGTGGTGGAGTGAGCAGGCAGCGGTGATGGTGGGGAAAGGGCATGGTTTTGGGAGTGGAGAATCTAGAGATTTTGCCGGAGAGACGGGGATCATTTTGAAATGGAGATGGGAGATCAGACCATGTGGGTACAATGCAAATCAGGGGAGATGGGAGATAAACCACTGATCGTATGCTGAGGGGTGCATTTGGTTAATCTCTGTAATAAGGGAAGCAATTGCTCTAGAGTAAGTCCAAGAGTGACCTGAGATAAACCTTCTGAGCTTTGAATCGTGCATCGTCAAGGCTTTGTTGGCTGCATATTGGGCAATTCTGGGGAACAGGTGACCATTAGGCAATCAGTTAGCATGCCAAAGGTTGGTGGACCTATCTTTCCTCTCAACATGCTCGATAAAATGCCTAGCAGAACCTCTCAGCTGAAGCAAAGTTCTCCATACCCATGAGCTATTTTGAGGTATATATGTTGATCTCCCATAAGCTTTTCCTTCTAATTAACCGATAATGAACCCAAGATGCCCATATGCTCTGATTGTTGACAGAAACTAGAGTTCATATATGCTATATAGGCAGGCTGCTTGGAAATTTTGCTTGGACTTATGCTAGCTTTTATGCTACAAAGAAAGCGGTATTGGAAATAATGTTTGAATGAGAAGTTATGATAAGGTCTGTATTTTTTATATGTATTTAGTTTTTTATCTTGTAATCAATGTGAAAGCAAAGATGTGGAATTTTAACTGATATAACTGAAGAATGTGAAATTACAGCATGACATTTCATTGAATAATTGCAGACGTATTGTACTAGGCATGAGTTTGTGGAATGAGCTCAATGGGCGAGCTTGAAAGGATTGAACTGACATACGATGTTACACATGAACTTCAATTTCATTTAATGTACATAAAAACATTTGAACCAAACAACAAGATCAAAGAAGTTACAACAGGTAATAATAATGTCATAGAAAGTGAAATACGTCCCTTGTCCTTCCTCAATATCATTCCTTCAATTATCGGGTAATTCATAATTGAGATGTAAAATGAGAGGAAAACTTGTGCAAAGATTTCGTCCCATTCTCCTTTCAAGATCACTCTAGCTATTCCCCAAGCGAAAGAAACCATGTTCAGAATTACTAAAGTGACCATTGGTGCCAGAAACATTGTTGATGTTCGAAAATCAAACTTATCCATTTGATATAATCTAACCTGTTCATCGCTGGCAACTTTATTTGTTGGCATAAAACTAGCTTCTCTCATACCAATTACCTTCAAGATAACATCCAAGGTTCCATAGAAATAGGCTGTAACAGATTTTATCATCCAAATACGACATTGATTCCACCATATTTGAATTGATCCTCCAATGGACAAGACATCCCATAAATGTTTCAAGTGGGAGGACAAGAAAATAAACGACAATATAATGAACCATGGACTTGAAACCTGTGATAGAAATATGATGCAATGTCAGAAGACATAAATTGGCCTGCACATGTTATTCTCCACTTTCATCTCCATATGCTCCATATTGTTTTCGCAAAAGAAATCATGAATAAATACTTGGTCAGAGATAGAGAATCTAATTTGTTGTTACCTTGGGGTATATTGGGATGCCATTCAAGAGACACAGCTGAGGTATAGTAGCTAAACACCACAGGGGGAGGCAATAGAGGGGCTGCAATGCAAAGTATCCATAACACATGCTCTCAAGAATGGAAATTCTCGATAGTCCGTATATAAGGGGGCAAAACCTTGAGAATCCAACGTCTAGCAATCCCGAGTTCCATCTTGTGGTTTGAATTAATGAGTCATTCAAATTCGTTGTGGCACAGCCCAAAAATGCTGGCCTAGAAGGATTGCAATAAACAGAATTCCACCCTTTACAGTGTAAGATGAACCCTGTAAAGTAATCTTCCACCACAGATTTATACGAGAAACCAACCTGCCATTGAGTGAACAAAATTTTAAAATGTTAACATACCCTTAATTAGCATACATATAATATTCAAGGACGTGGGATGTTTAGGAAGTTCAACGCTTGCCTGTTGACCCCATTGTGTTTCTTCCTCATAGGTGCAAGAGGATAAATATTTAGCTTGTTCTAGCAATGTTTTTGATATGTCGTCCTTTTCATTGACTATACGTTTGTAACTCCTGCTAAGTGTCTTGATGAACTCATTTGAAGGACCCAAAGATTGTCTGAGTTGGGGGAGATCCATACCTTGATAAACAATAACCGGAAATAGTCATTGGTTAGTTGCTTTAGTCTCTAAAGTGCAGGAAGCCAGACCCAAAACAGAGAGGGAAAAAGTAAAATAAATTCCATGAATATATAGGGTGTATAAGGGTGTTTACTCCTTTAATCAATAACATTTTTAAAATCTGAATGTGTTTTATTTTTGTTTATCCTTGTTTTGCTCTAAGCTTTGAAGTTGGAGCACAATATGGGTGAAGAGTGAAATGAATAGAACTATTAGTATTATTCCCTATTTTAAAAGATCATTTGTCAACGCACTTCAAATTTTAATATAGATAAAGCTTTATAATGTAATTCCTAATACGATGATTTTTAGGCCTTCCATTTTATTTTATTTTTCCTGGAATTTGCATTTAACATTATGGTTAGAAATGATAGTGGAGAGCAGATAACCATGATGATGATGGCAATGATCACAGTGGCAATGCGTATGGCGTCAGCAAGGTAATGTTTGGATAAAATTCCCATCTCGTCAACCTGCCTAGTAAGTCAACACATGTTTGTTATGCTTTTTGACCTTGTGCCTCCTTCCATTATTCATAAACCAACTGCTCTCTATTTTTTAAAATTATTTTTATTTATTTATTAAAATTTGTTTGGTAAAGTGATTGATTGAAGATTTGAAGCTTATATTTTCAACAGTTGATACACTTACTGTATCCTATCTGATTACGAATCATATTGATAGAGAGTTACTTATTCAGGGATCATAACTTAAATTTTTACCTTGTTAGCCTTTGAAACTCATACATCTTACTTATGATGTTTTTGCTTGTGTCACATGAAAATAGCAAATGAAGTAATAAACAATCTTTCTTCATGAACCTTTGGATTCATTTGAAGTACAGAACATACCATTTTGTTTATCACTTCCGTATAATGCCTTCCTTTTGATGTACAAGCATGTCCCAGAAACAATCGGTCCCCTAAGCCCATCCATACCATGCCACATCATCTGAAATTTAACACAAGAACTAACACAACATTGCAAGTGTCTTCTCCAAAAATAAACATAGAACATAAACAACGATTAGGCCTTCGTTTACATTACCATGTATACTAATCTCAACCCACTGTCGTAGATGTCATTCTTTGTGAGATTGTCGCATTTCTGAGGGAATTGAACGAAAGCTAGCGAGGGAGAGAGCTTGGAATCAAGATGGAAGCACATTGCCTGACGGGCAGATGTTGGGTCATTGGAGTACATGTCACAGTCTAATATCAGTATATATGGAGCATTGCTTATGATCCCAGAGACCCGCAACTGCATGCAACATTAATCATAGATAGTTATGTGTATAGATAGATATACATAATTCCTTGCATATAGATGTCTAGAAAGAAGAGGTAGAAAGATACAAGAACATTGAGGGCTCCGGCTTTGAAATGATGAGGATGGGAAGGTCTTTTCTCACGAGAAATGTACACAAGAAGAGGCATTTCAGCATGGCCAGACTCTTCGAGATTAACATTGTTATCTCGTATCACCTGCAAATTTTTTTACCAAAGACCAGCTTATACAGAATATGAACCATATAAATTGAACATTTAGTTATACTAAACAGTTCAACTAATTAAGACATTTTCATTTCTTTCAGAAAATGCAGTGAAACATCATTGAAAGATTTGGATTATTGACTGAGGAGTCATTGCTTAGTGCTCTAGTGACTTTAAGCTTGAGATTGTCGATTTGAATCATTAAAGCAGAACGTTGTACAAATAATGTCAAAATTTAAGTCTGAATTCAGTTAACCTCTTTTGAGTACCTTTGAAATCTCACTGAAGCACTATTTTTTTTTATTTTTTATAAGTCTTGCTAAAAACAATCAAAGACTTCTCTGCACTATGATTGATATATCTGTCCTACCAAACTTTGACAAAGTCCAAAGAGAGGTAAGTACCTCAATAACTTGAGGGCGAATTTGATCAAGCTTGGAATTTTTATCATTAATTCCACCTTTTTCTCCGGCTCTTCTCAGGCGTTCCTTAAATTCATCGTACTTCCTCTGTACAAACAAAAAAAACCTCCTTCATTAGTTCCCAATTATAAGGTATCCCATTAAATTATCATAATCTTCGTCGTTTTGTTGGTAATTGAAGTGATTAACAAGGAATAAATGAACCATTTACTCAAGTAAATGAAAAAAAAAAAAGTATGGTATAAACCCTGACATAGAAAAAACTCAGCTGTTGGTTGTCACACAACCAAGTCCAACATCATCGAGTTATATATGTGTGCTTTCTTTGGCTCACTCAATGTGAAAAGCATACCTCAATATTAGAGGGAATAATTAAACTCTAAGTTAAACTTTCTTTAGTTTTAATATAATTTATTACTGATGCATAAATAAGCAAACCTCAATCCTATCTGTGTCTTTGGCAAACTCTAGGCCACCTCCAACATCACCATCCGCATCCAGTGTGGAAAAATAAGCCTTCGGGCATCTTGTCTTGATATCATACCTCCTACAAAATGGTATCCACAACCTTGCAAATCCCCAAGCCTCCCTCATGGCGTACAAAGTCACCGAAGAAGAAGCATCATCAGAAAGATATATAGAAAGCTTGTCTGGTGGGTAGTCAAGAGCCATAGCCGATATAACTGTGTTCATGACCTCCACAGGTGGTTCCTTCTTGGGGTCTGCAGTGCATATCAACACATCAATAGACGGAAGTTCCTCGTCACCCGGCAACCTCTCCGGAAATACGGTTCGGGAAACTGGTCGCCATTGAAAAGCTTGGCTAAGGAGCCAAAGGAAGGAGAGAAGCATCTCTGCAGCGAAGACCAGAAGCCATGGTAAGATTGGCAATGTTTGGGTGCTTACAGAGGAGAGAAATGAAGAAACTCTGTAGTAAATCAGGGCTGTTATAGCGATGGAGTGAAAGAAGACGTGTGATCGGTTGATGATGGCCTTTGATTTGTGGACAGTGCAGTGGTGGAGAGGCAGAGGCTCCATTTGTTTTTGTTATGGGTATGTAATTGAGATTTCAATACTAAAAAGACCTCTCCAATATATATATAGACACATAAATAGATATCTATGTAGAAAGCATTGGATACAATTGGATAGACACGTAGTTATACGTAGAAAAATTGGATACGGTGAGAGTGAAACATATGATATGACATGAGAAACGGCAATAATTGTCTTCGTTTTAGTTGCATCACCATGTTTCACTAACTTAAACACAACCTACAGAGTTAGTATAATGTGGGACCATGAAAGACTTTAGGATAAAAATCTCTACATTTGTCATGCAGACTTTTTATCTTTTTTTTGAACAGTTCTGTTGATACTCAAATATAATATTATAAAGCCAAAATAGAATCATGAAATAAAATTATAAAATCATGAAATAAAATAGAATCGTGATAGATAAAATAAAATACAGTAAAATAAAATCATGACTAATTCTTACGGTACAAAATTAAGAACAATTGTACCAAAAGACAAGAAAATTGAAGAGAATGTTATAGATAATAATGTGACGGATTGTGGAATGCGTCCCTTGTCCTTCCTCCAAATTATCCCTTCAATTATTTGGTAATTCACAATTAAGATATAAAGTGAGAGGAAAACTTATGCAAAATTCTGGTTCCATCCTCCTTCAAAGGTTGCTCTAGCTATTCCCCCAAAGAAAGAAACCATATTGAGAATTGCTAAGGTGACCATTGGTGCCAAAAACATATTTGATATTCGGAAATCAAATGTTCCCATTTGATATAATCTAACTTGTTCATCACTGGTAACTTTGTTCGTTGTTATGAAACTAGCTTCACTCGCACCAATTATCTTCAAGATAGCGTCCAAACCTCCATAAAAATAGGCTATAACACATTTTATCAACCAAAAAGGCCATTCGTTCAAACATGACTGAATTGAACCTCCTATGCAGAAGAAATCCCATAATTGTTTCAAGTGGGAGGAGAAGAAAATGAACGACAATATAATGAACCACGAACTTGAAACCTGTGAGAAAATATAAAGTAATTTTAACTAGTGTGTTCCATATTTTTAGCACAAAATTAAATAATAATTTTTGAGAGAGCATTTAATTTGATTATTATACCTCAGGGTATATTGGGATGCCATTCAAGAGACACGACTGAGGTATAGTAGCAAAACACCACAGGGGGATGCAGTATAGGGGCATAATTGCAAAGGGTCCATAACACATGCTCTGAAGAATGGACATTCTGAGTAGCCCATATACAAGTGGACAAAACCTTAGAGTATGCAACTTCTAGCAACCCAGACATCCATCTTGAGTTCTGAATTAATGCGTCATTCAAAATTGTTGTGGCGCTGCCCAAAAATGCTGGCCTAGAAAGATCACAATAAACAGAAGTCCGCCCTTTGCAGTGCAACATGAACCCGGTAAAGTAATCTTCCACCACAGAATTGTACCAGAAACCAATCTGCCGTTAGAGCCGACAAGATCATCCCGAAATGTTAAAATTCTTAACCAGCATAATGTAATGTTCAATGTTTAGTTAAAATAGTGCTTGCCCTGTTGACCCCATTGTGTTTCTTTCTCGTAGGTGCAAGAGGCTAAGAATTGGGCGTGTTGTAACAATGTATTTGACAAGTCTTCATCGTTGATGTTTATTCGTTTGTAACTCTTTCCAAGTGTCTTTTTGATGAACTCATTTGAAGAACTTAAAGATTGTCTGAGTTGAGGGATATCTAGACCTATTATTGTCAACAGATGAAATTTCTGGTGAATATAGGCAAAATTATCGAACCAAGTAAATCGTGTGAGTTTTTTTCTCTCTATTTGATTATAGAATACCATATGAGGTGACGAGAACGATTAGAGTAGCAAGCGGATCAAAAACAGTTGATGAACAAGTATACAACTTACCATTATGCATGTCACTCCATATAATGCCTTTCTTTTTATGTAAAAACAAGTACCAGAAAGTACCGGTCCCCTGAGCCCATCACCGCCAAGCCACGATATATGAAATAATTAAGAGCATCTTCAATGCTAAAAGTTAAATTCGAATGCCAAATTTATATTTTGACAGGTATTATAGTGTCAAAATGTCACATTTTAACAATTCGACTTTAATGGTGCATTCCATGCAAAATGTTATTTTTTGACACAATCACCATTCTTTTTCAACTATCATTCCGACCATTCATATTTGCATTAGTAATATTAATATTAGGCACGTTCCAAGTCAAGTTGTAGACATTAAAATAAAATTAAAATTAAACCTAATTAAAAAGATGCAAATATCTAAAATATTTAGTCAAAAAAGGACCCAAAGAAAAAAAAAAAAAAATTTATAATTTTTTTTCCACTATTTGTGAATTAATTTTTTTATATAATTTTTTTTTTCTTTTTCGGATATTTATATTATATATATATATATATGTATATGTATATTATATATATTTGATTATATAATCGTTAAAACTATATATATTTTTAGGGCAAATCATTTTAGCCTCCCCAATCGCCTCCATCTCGTTCTGAACTCTGAGAACTTGCCCACCCTCTCTCTCTCTCTCTCTCTCTCTGCAACTGCAAACTACAAAATCTACAATAATCAAAAGTTCAAAATCCATATATTTCAGTTTATCTATCTGTCTGTAAGAATCCAAAGTTCAAAACCTATTACCTATATAAAAACCCAGATCGGTGTATCATTTAAGATTGTTCAAAAAATCAAAACCCATATTTTTCAGTTTCCATCACCCGTTGTTTCACCCGCTGTTTCAGTTCGGGTTCGCCGTTTGCAAGTTTCAGCCGTCATCTCTCAACTCTCAAGCTTGCCCCCATCTCTATCTGCAATTGCTAATCAAGGTCTGTAGGGAAAGAGAGAATACAAAAATCAAATAATAGAAGAGCCGGTCGCCGTCGATAATCGCCAGTCGTTGCAGATGGATGAGAGAGAGAGACGGTCTTTGGCAGAGCAAGAGAGAGACAATGGGTTGCAGATTTTGGCACAGAGAGAGAGAGAGAGAGACGGTGGGTTGCAGATTTTGACAAATAGTTATTGCTATTTGTTTTGCTAGATTTGGCACCAAAAATGACAAATGCAAATTTTAGCAGGTGATATAGCAGCCCATTAGAAAGTCCAATTTTAACCCATCTGTTATATTTTGAATTGGTAACTCACATGCCAGGTGGGTTGGAGATGCCCTAACACACCATCATAATACTGAAAGTGGTGCGCACAACACAGTAACACAAGGCACATAAATTTTAAAAAAAATAAAAATTAATTATATAATATAATTTTTGGTTCATTCTATCTTGAATGCTGATATCAAGTCGCCATCGTAGATGTCATTCTAAGATTGTGAAACTTTTGAGGGAATTGAACCAACGCTAGCGGGGGAGAGAGCTTGGGATCAACATAAAAGCACATTGCCTGATGGGCAGATTTTGGGTCATTGGAGTACATGTCACAGTCTAACATCAATATGTATGGGGCATTGCTTATGATGCTACAGACCCGCAGCTGCATGCCACATTTGATAATAAATTATTTATGTATATATAAAAAAAAGAGTAAAGTGTAAAAAATTACCCCTTCCAAATTATTGATTTGTTGTAAATGAGGACAAATTTATCACAAAAATTTATTTTACCCTTTCTCATTACATTTATCATTTCTTAGTAAACTATTTTTATTATTCTTTCTCTTATTTAAATATTAATTATATCACTTATCTTAATTTTATTATTATTATCAGTTTATCAACAAAATAAATAAATATATTTTTGTAACTACTATTTTATAAAATGTTTAATTTATTATTAAAACTTTGCTATTTAAAATAAAACTTATTATACTCACTATAAAAAATTTACTATAAAAATATCTTCATTTTCATTTAATATATTCATGAAAAAATAATAAATTACCTAAATAAAAAATAAATTTTTTTATGCTATATATTAGTGAAAAACTAAAAAAATTACTTAAATTATTTTAAAATAATCTATTTAAGATTTTTATTAAAAATTAAAGATAAATTTATGCAAATTTAATGGAGAATATGTCATCAAATTAGTATAATTTTTTTTTTCATAATTTATTTCAATAAGAAAAAATATTCAAGGTATTGAGACATTTTGCAACTAAATGTGCTACTTCAAGGGGTTTTATGCACAAAATATACTTCAGAGGGGGTTATTTGCAAATTCCAACATAGTTCAGGGAGATTTTTGCACTTTACCCTATAAAAAAATACTATCTTAAAACATCAAATAGCCCCCTTTACTAACATAAAATCCTCCAAAATAATAAAATTTAGGGTATATAGAACTGACACCCCCTTAGGTTTAGGTTAAAGATACTCATCTACAACTTAAGTACTTTTTGGATAATGACACCCCCTAGGTTTGGTAAACTGAATAAAGACATCCCAACTATGACAAAAGTACATACTTGCCCTTTGACTTATGATTGACCCATGTGAATAGTTAAATTACATTCACTTTCTTTTTTGGGCAAAGTACAGAAAACCCCTATTGACTTGTAGACTTTTCTAATAAACCCCATTTATCTATTTTTTTTCCCATGATCAAACTATATGAGGGGTAAAAGAGACAAAACTTAGACCAAAATGCTCTTTTATTTAAATTCTAACTTGTTCAAACTTCAAAATTTTATATCTCATAATCCATACATTTAAAAATTATAAATAATATATGCAAGAAAAGTTTATGAAATAAGGATTTTAAAAATATAAGATTTGTGCAACAAACCTCCATAACCAGAGAGAAATAGACAATCTAAAAATATACTCCAACAATCTTATTTTATTTATTTTTTTTAAAACTATTTAGGATTTTTGGGAAAAAAAAAAAATTTTCAGACTTATTCATTTACATATGGAGCATAACATATATAAAAAAATTAACCCCAAAAGAGAATGAATTTTCATTTTAATTTGTATTTTAAATGGTGAGTCTATAAAAAAAAGTAAAAATATTTTGACGCACAATATAATATCTCATGTAATCGATTTCAGT